CTTTCCCCCACCTCCCCTTCTCCCATGTCCCCCCAGAACTGTCAGTCCCATTGTTTTCTCCTCCAGATTGTTCATCCAGCCTGTCCTATCCAGACAGACCTGCGGAGACAACAACATGCACAAAAACAAGACCCACATGTCTTATCCTCATTCCCCTGAGCAACCCTATCTCGAGCCTAATTTCCTTTATGATTCTTTAGCTGCCCAACCTCAAATCATCACTGATTGTCACATCTAATATCCATGAAACGTGTTATCCACATGATAAAGTGTACAACTCATTACGTGCAACATTAAATTAGAAATACCACTTGCCTCCATAATTAGATTAGAGATTCCTTAAACACAGTAAATATTCCATTAAAACCAAACTACCACATCCCTTGCCGTCACGTCAATGACAACTCGTGGCGATCCCTCATGCTGGAGCAGAGTGGCTTTTCTCGGCTGTGACCTTAGGAGAGCCAGTTTGCCAGGCCTTTCTTCCACGGAACCTCTGGTGGGGTCACACTGCCAACCTTTAGGTTAGCCACCGATGGGAGATGATGCATGTTCCCAAGGAGCCTTTCTTAAAACTCAGGCCCCAACAAAGTGATGCACAGACTGGGAACCCCAGACGGTTCAGAAACTTACATGGAATCCCCTCCCTCATGGTACTCCATATGGGAGCGCCTCCGAGGGAGCCCTTCAATAGCCACCTCAAAGTCCCCGCCAATTGTAGGAATGCAGACGTGTACTTGTGTCTACTCACCCTACTGAAAACAACCTAACTCACAACGCAAGAAAGTGTAGTGTAGCAAATGCCCTTTTAAGAAGTGGCTGACCCTTCTCTTAAAAACTGTCTTTTCAGACCCAGCATCACATTTTGTAGTTTATTCTAGTTGCTTACCAAAATTTAATCTCTTTTCCTTAAAAGTATCCCAGGAACGACTTTTAAATTGCCATCATCGGGTCTGAAATGGGTTTCCTTGTTTCTCTGTCCCCTTTGCTGGCTGACTGCCAGCTGGCAGTGGCTACTACCACC